TCCTCCACGGGGTGGTGGGCAAGGGGCGATTCCTGGCGTTTTGCCCAATTTGGCTGGCGGGTGGAGCTGTGCCCCCTTGTACCAGGTGTGAGTGTGGCTGAGAAACGAGAGCAGCCTGCTCTGAACAAACGGGGCTTTGCCTGCCCTGGAGATGTGTAAGGGGTTGGTGGACCGCTGGGTAAGCAGTATAATAGTGTTCATCTGCTGGTGGTTCAGGGGAGAGTGTCTCCTCTGCAGCGCAAAGGAGCCTGTTCTGAGCTCCGTTTGTGGAACGGAGGCAGCGTGGCCATCGCTATGTGGGTGGCAGGAGGTGCTAACAAATGCCAATGTCACCTTAACCTGCTCCGTCTCTCCTGCTCCCCTTCCACTTGTACTACCCTGCCTCGTGTCTGACCTTGCCCCCCCAGTCCTGGCTCAGCTGTTTGCACACTGGTTTGGGGAACTAATCCAGCTAAAAAACGAATGTTTCCCCTGACTGAGCTGTGCAGGCACAGTGGGGGACCAGCCCCGGGGCAGCACAAGAAGCTTAGCCCTGTTGCAGAGCGCTGCGCCATGCCTGTGTCCCAGCACGGCGAGGTGTGTGACCTACCCTGGGAGAGCTGCCCCTCACAGCATTTTAAGTTTCACGTGCTTTGTGCTAAAAGCAACATCACGCCGTTATTGCTTTCAACATCTCAGATGATGCCTGTCTTTGACTCTCTAAGTGTGGACTCAGTGCTGTGCTTTTAAGCAGATATTAGTAATAGCTGTTTCCTGCTTGTCCTGTGTCTCCCATTTGTCTCCTTTAAGCAGCTGATAGCCCGTCTCACGTCTAAGCCGTTTCCTGCCTTGTGCCACTCACTTGTACACCTCTCACACTGAGACTATTTTTCTTTTTTCTTTTTCTGCCTGTGTAAGATAAAGCCACTGACCCAAGTATCCCTGAGGAAAACTGGGAATGCATCCAGCGGTTCTGTGACCAGGTGAACACAGACATAGAAGGGTAAGGTAGACAGACAGTTCTTTGTATTAGCGCTGTGCTGTGTATCTGGTCTGAGCTTATCTCATTGCTGCGTGGGGGAAATGAGATCTGTAAACCGCAGTTTTGTGAAGCCTGGAGAGGAAGCTGGGAGCACTCACAGGTCTCTGTTACTCTTGAAAGTATCTGTACAGGAATGGGTAGATTACATGCAACGAGATGTTTATGACAACTTGGCAAGAGGTTAAACGTATGGGAATAGGCTCCTCTCCTTGCAATCTTAGAGATGGTGGGTTTACCTTCTGTGCATTCACCAGCCTGTTTGTAGAAGTGGGTAATGATTTTAGCTGTGGTGTTTGCAGAGAAGTCCTAAGTGACCTCAGGTACAGCTGTGGCATTAACTATTCTTTTCAGAGGGGTGGTATCTCCACTATGACTTTCCCCACCTTGCAGTTGACAGTCCTGTGCCTTTGAGAAGGAGCAAGAGCTGTGGGGTAGCACGAGCTGCCTGAATTCATGCTGTCTTGTCCCTTGTGTGTCTATACCCCAGGTCAGTCCTGTGCCAGAGGAAAGGTGTCTGTGATGTGGCATGTTGTGAATGTGGCAGTTGCTCTTCTCTGCAGGACAAAATTAACAGCATTTGTTTTTCTTGGGAATCTGTGCATTGTGTGACTTGCTTCTGTTATTCTCCAGCCCATCGCTTGCACCAAGGCTGCTGGCACATAAGATACAGTCACCTCAAGAGATGGAAGCTCTGCATGCTCTAACTGTAAGTGCTTTCATCCACATGCGAAGAGAGACAGTGATAACCTGGAAGTAGTTTGTAGGACAGAGTCTGTGTGTCTACCTCTTCTAACATTTCATTGCATGATGAGTATAGAAACTAGGGTATAACAGAGGAAATACTTGCTATTCTTCCTTCCCATGTAGTTCTGCTGAGGTATTTCAGTGGTCTGCAGCTCTTGGTGTTTTGCCTGTGGTCTGCACACAGGATCAGTGGGTTCAAAAATTATTAGTGATGGGGAGAACAGAGCAATGTAACGCAGAAATGTGCTGCTTAAGAAATTTGGCTGAAGGGAAAACGCACATTCTTGCTGCACAGCTTCCCCAGTATCTTGAGTGTGTGTCTGTGTTGTGCTGCCAGAAAGTTCTTAGATATCTTATCTTAGTAGCAAAGTTTTTTTAAAAAAAACTCCTAAGAATTGTGTGTACGGTTTCTGTTTGATACTAGTTTATTTTCTGCAGGTGCTGGAGACCTGTGTGAATAATTGTGGTGAAAGATTTCACAGTGAAATAGCAAAATTCAGGTTTCTGAATGAACTGATAAAAGTGCTTTCCCCAAAGGTAGGTGGATGTGGTTATGCTGGATATAGACAGTATGACACACTGTTTATTTCAGAAGGTATATGAAAACTTTGAATGAAGCAGAGTAGTTGTTCTGTGCTTCCAAGCGCAAAGGTTGAATGTAAATCTCCCTGCAAATGATGCAATAATTTTTATTTCCCTTTAAGGTTAGCAGGGAAAGGGTGTGGGATAGGGAGGAAATGGAGAAAGCATTGAATAATATCTTGCCACACTCTCTGAAAATGTGAGCGTGAGGAAGGTGTTTTGTGTCTCGTAGGTCACAGCTGCTAACTGACTGAATACAGCAATGTTTACTCTCCTTTCTCTCTACAAATTCTTCCTGTGGAAAGGAAGCTTTTTTCTTTGTTTTTTCCCAGCTCTACTGGGACAGTGAGAGACTCTGGAGGTGCCCGATACTGTTCTTGCTACGCCTTAGCCTGTGGTCCCTTTGCCCCTCTGGTCTGGGAAATGGCAGAGGATAGAGATGACAGGAGCAGCTCAGGGCCTCTCCCATGTTTTCTTACGATCTGTCCTCAGACTCTTGCACTCAGGCTACTATTCTTGTTGCTCGCTTATGCCAAAAGCTAGCCTGAGTTTGGGTCCTGTTCCTTGGGCAGGTTCAGATTAAATAGGGGTAGTGCGGACTGGGCTTCAGCAGCACTCGTATAGCACTTGCTCCACGATCATGTGATAAGAGTTGTGCATTTGCGCAGCACCCTTTGGAGTTCTGTTGAGAGTGTCTTAGCAGTCAGATAGTGGGCTCTGGGCCCCCAGTGTGCGTGCCCCGGGAGTTACAGCACTGAGTGAAAAGTGAGGTTGGAAAGGATCTCCTGTAGCTGACATGGAAACTGCAAAGACCCTTCCTGCTGCTCTACTTCACCAGCTTGGAATACATTCATTCCTGATCCCTGCTGTGGAGCGCTTTGCCCCCCGAGTGTAATCTCTGCCTCCTGAGAAGAGAAGCAATGAGCAGAAACGGGAACTTAACTTTTCAAACTGAAGTGAGCTGCGAGTTCAGAGTGAATGCCCTATGGTGCTCTGATAGCTTCTTTAATGACGAGAAACGGACTCCTATTGTATCAGGCACTGCATGATCTTCACACCTCACTCTTTGCATCAAATAGCAGAGCTGGGAGTTTTTAAAATACCCTTCTAGGAGTTCAGTAATCTATTTCCTTTTTAGTGGGTACGGTACACGTTTACCATTTGTAAAGGCTTCATTTCCCATTATGTTATGTCAGCTCAATGGCAGAGGAGCTTCAATGATTTCGGGGAAATGAAGCCAAACAGTAAAACTCTTCTCTTGATCCCAGGTTTGGGATAGGTATTTCAGTGAAATAACAATGTTTAAAGAGGGTATTACTGTGGAGAGTTTTGCTTCCTATTTTGACAGAACGGGTGTTATATGAGTTTAAAATGCGTAGTGATTTTGAATTTCATGTGTGATTTTTATCACTATTCCAGATATTTTTATAATATATTAAAGTGGGTGCTCATAGGCAATAATGAGATCAGAGAAACTATTTAGATGCTGAAAAAAGAGAATTACTTTCACTTCTAGGTTTGTTCAGTTTTCATTTGCCTGAATATGGCTGAGGACATTGTGCCGTTTGCAATGCAAACGGTTAAAAGGAATGTTTAAAGTCAAGCACGGAACTATTTTCACTGAAATAAAAAAAAAAAACCTACTCTTGGTTTCAGTTTCAAATAATAACTGAACAGGGAAGCTTTGAAATGGTTTCATTTTGATTGTCATATTATAATGCCTATGTAATTGTCATACACTTATAGCATTTGCCTTATTTACAGCTGCAGCTATACCACACTATTTCATCTACTGCAGAATAAGGCAGCTGACAGCGCTGTGAATAATGTGTTAAGAATCCATTTCTACATGATCTCTGCGTGTAAACAACTTGGCTCTAGACCTGTATGTCGTATCTGGCACTGTTTGGTTATGAACTTTTTTGCTTTTTTAAATTTTTTCTTTTCAGTACCATGGAGCCTGGTCGTCAGAAAAAGTCAAGTCAAGAGTCACAGAAATAATATTCAGTTGGACAGTTTGGTTTCCTCAGGAAGTTAAAATCCGGGATGCTTATCAGATGCTGAAGAAACAAGGTTTAGTTCTGTTATTTCAGTTTCCTTTTTAGCCTTCAAAGTCACGTGGTTTCAGACCACAGATCTCTCTCCTCTTTACTTTTGTGACTCAGCCTTTTCCATAAAATATTATGTGTAAAGGAGGAAGAACAAAGGGCACACTTACAAGGCTGTTTGGGTACTTAAGGATGCACATAAGTGTTTAAAGAGATTTACTGAAGAACAGTCCTATTGAGTCAAAGATCAATCTAATCTTGTGGCCTCTGTTCACACAGGACCCACCACTGTTGCTTAGGGAAAAATTACAGGATAAATTCAGAGTGATCTTTGCCCTGGAGTACTCTCCTAGACTTATCAGGTATGGGTTTAGAGAGATCCTGTGTCAGATTTCTCATCCATACTATCATATTTAATAGTCTTCAATGGTATTTTCATCCATAAGTTTGTCCAATCCCTTCTTGGTATCCCATGAAATAAATTTCATAACTTAAGAAAATGGCATAATACTTTCCATGGAAGTTCAGGGGAATTAGACACCTTGTTTAGATGCTTCCTACTAGGTTGGCTGTGTGCTTCCTTAAGCATCTAAGTGGCTTTGCAAGTCTTCCCCTAAACCCTGCTCTAGAAAGCTTTCTCACCATGATTGCAGTTCCTCTGTGCAGCTGTTGACTGCAGGCTGGGCCATTGCTGTGACACCAGGCACCCGTTGTGTGCTGAGCAGGGCACAGGATTGCTGGCGCTGTGGTGCTGAACGCTTGGTGCGGTAGGCCTGCTGCTGCAGATGCTGTCTGGAGAGTGTGCTGATCCATGAACTTGCTAGACTTTGGGAAAGGCCAGGAACTGGGATGGCTAGAGCAGAACATGCTGCTGCTGGCTATTTAGTAGAGATACTAGGAGGAATGCAAGGAGGGGCTGCAAGATCGCGTAGTGATATAGCAGTTTCTGCTCTTGTGTGGCTGTGAAGAGTGAGGCATGTGAAACGTCTGCTGAGACCAGAGGAATCATGACCTGCCTGGGAGGTGGCAGCCAGAGTATCTTACAGCTGACAGTGCCGGCAGCCAAGAGATCACAGTGGAGGACTCGCTGAGGGTAGCTCAGACTCTGGCCCAAGACACAAGGACAATGCGTCAGTCAGGTGACTGGACAGCCCAGGTCTGATTAATCGGGAGGCTCCTGCTGAGTCAGCCAGGGTCACGCTGTGGTCTTGCATGTGACTGCCTGCTGTTTGCAGCCCCTGGTGCAATCCACCTAAGTGCAGAGAGAGCCTGCAGGTATGCAAGAGGGGGAGAATGTCACAGAATCACTGTTGACATTAAGGGTTCCTTTGCTTGGTTGTGTTAGTTTGTTGCCCTACGTTTTATGGCCGTGCTGATTGGGACAATCATACATGCTTGGAGATAAATACTGATGTGTTCCCAGTGCTCTCTCTATGAGGGGATTCTAGAAATTCACCCAAGGGAACTCAACATGTCCTTATTTTATTTTCTGCCCTGAAAATTTCATTTGGCCTTTGCTTAATTCGCGGAAGAGAGGAAAGTCTTTTTGTCTGGGCTGTGTGCTCAGGCAACTCTTTGCTTCTGCATCTCATTTTGTAAAATTTTGGGGGGAAGCGAAAGGAAGAAGTGCAAAATCCAATGCACTATTGAGCACTGGTGTTTTAACAGCTCAGGCATTGCTGAACAAATGTTATTACCCATTCCAGGGATTGTAAAAGAAGACCCCAAATTGCCAGAAGACAAAATTTTACCTCCCCCTTCTCCGAGACCTCAGAATTCTATTTTTGACACAGATGAAGAGAAATCAAAGGTAAACCTTAAGTTTTTCATGTCTTGCTCCCCCTCTGATTTTTACTGTTGAGAAAGTACACTCAGTCATACATTGAAGTTTTTTGCTGTTTCAGACCGAATATATTCAGAATAATGCTAATACTGCTTGCTGTACAAGGTCTAGTTATTAGAATCCCTTGAGAATTCTTTGATGCTTTGTCAGAAAAATTTTGCTTAGTCAGAAGTGAAATTTTGGCAGAAATAGATCTATTTCTCTAAAACGTTCCAGAGGGAAGGTTTCTCTAGTCCCAGCAGAAGTACTGGAGAGACAGAGAGTTCCTATTCCCAAATAGCCTGTTAGTTAGAATATGCATATGGAATGCCGGGGTTCAGGTCATTCTCTGCCTCTTTCTCACATTCCTAGTAGCAATAGTTTGGGCTGTTCCGGAAAGGGTTTGTTTTAGTCTCACCTTTTGAGCTGCTTTTTTTGTATAAGTAAATCCATGTTTGTTACAGGGGCTTGAGCTTGCATCTCCTGTATCCCAAATTAATGCCTTAACTACTGGGTTATTGAGGGCTTTTGCCTCTGGCCCAGTATATGTGTATTCATTATTCATGGAGGACAGACCGGGAGGGAGGGAGAGAGAAAGACCAGTAGTACAGTCTGAGCCTGTGTTCAGGGCATTCTTAGGAGCCCCCATGGTTCAAGAACTTGCTCAGGTTCCTACAGCTCGTCTTTTACTTTTTGTGTGAAACTGCAGGAAGTTTCAGATTTGTCCTATGTTAGAATGGTAACATTTTGAAGTCTTACAAGTAAATAGTCAACGTGAGCAAGTACTGAGGAACCAGAGGACTTTGGTTATTCTACTCTTAACAATGGGGAAATGCAAAGGGTTAAGGATCCCTTCCACAAAGAGAGAATCTCTGTTAGATCCAGGTTTGTTTTTGCTCCGAGCCTAACCTGTAGTTATTACCTGTTTTGCTCATGCACCTTGACTTTTGTTCTGCTGCCGTTGTGTGCAGGCAGCTGCAGGAGGCAGCAATATAATCTCGATTAAATCATGAGACATGAGCCCACATATTCCTAGGATTATAGAAACTATTGTGGCCGTGGGTGTCTTTGAATATCTTCTCTTAAGTGATGTGTGTCTGTAGTATGGTGCCTAGGGAATGTTGTTCTGTAATTGCTCTCTAATGCTCTCCGTTCAACAGCTCTTAGCAAGACTTTTAAAGAGCAACCATTCTGAAGACCTGCAGGCTGCCAACCGCCTCATCAAGAGCATGATTAAAGAGGTAGGCACCAGGAAGAGCTGACAGCTCCTTGGGGCAGAAGCTTTGTTCACAGCAGGGGAGGAGGGGAGGTGACTTCACAGTTCAATTTTTGACAGTGGGCCCGCTATGTATGATCTTCATAATGTCTGCCACCATATTGGTATTAAAGGGAATACCAACAGGTTGGTCATGGGAACCTGGCTGTGAAGTCAGGTGAACAGTTTAAATGCCCCAGAGGAGAGGCCATTTTCAGTATTTGTTATTCCAGGGTCACAGTTGAAGGACTGTCTTAGTTTGTGTTTCCCGAAAATATACTGTTGTCAGGAGAAGGGAGTATTTATACCCAGGAGCCTGTATGGTGGGACATTTTTACTCTTTAAGAGATTCTGGCAGTAGTGTTGCATTAGTGATAAACCCCCTGTCAGGAAGTTTCCAAAAATAAACTCAGTTCTCAGGTGGAAAAGCCACATCTGTACAGAACTCTTCCTTTTTGCAAGCACTGGGTGTGTTTGCATCAAGTGTTTCTATTTTTATTTTCCATCTGAAAGGGCACCCTGCTTCACTGCGCAAATAGGAGATTTGGTCTGGTTTAACAAAATCCCTGCAGTCATTTTGATACTTTTTGGGACAGTGTCCTGTATAGCAGAAGTCACCAGCTCCTAACTCTAATTCCGAAGACTTGCTTGTGGCTTTGCTGAAATTAATTCCTTATGCCCACTCTGATCAGCATGCTTGGGAAAGCGCAGGAGGTGTTCTGTCTTGACCCTTGACGTTTAAGTGTGGCCCAGCCCTAATACTGGAGGTCTTCATGGAGTGAGTTTTCACTTGCCCTGCCTTGTGCCATCTTGTATCTGCAGTGACATATTAATAGGAAGCAACCCCCCAACAAGTGTGACTGAGTGACACAGCCAAGCACGTGCAATGGTGGTACTAGCCAAATCATCTGCTTTTATTTTATTTTGCATCAAAGGAACAAGAAAAGTCAGCTAAGGTTTCCAGAAGAGTGAATACAATCAGTGAGGTTTCTGAGAATGTTAAACTCATGGATGAATTACTGGACAACTACAAGAGACAAGAATTATCCAAATCTGACTGTGACACTCTACAGGTGAATGTTCCTTTTTCCTGCACAAGAAAGTCTTTTGGCTGACTATAACTGGGAGAGCCCAGGGCAGCAAGGTTCAAAGAGTAGCAAGGTGCGCTCAGCTTCTGCATGGGCAAGAGCATTAGGGGACAGCAGAAATAGCTTCCAGCAACCTGGATGAATAATAGCGCCTCCCATCAGGCCAATGGAAGTGGAAATGGAGCTGTCTCCTGCTGTGTCAGTTTGGTTTTATCTTGTTGTGTGAGTTTGAGTTTCTCTCCAGATGAGCTGCTGCTCTTGTGGTATCCTATGGGGAAATGGATCCTCTTCCAATAGTGGAGTAACACAAGGAAATTCCATTTAGCCCAGTCTTGGTTAGATGGCTGTGATATGATCTGATCAGAGAACCTCAAAAGCTGTGGGTTCTTCAGCTCCTTCTATGATTTCTGAGATTCCCCTTTTTCTGCCCAGAGTTCACTGGTCTGTTTCTGTATAAAGGTATTACTAAATTAAGGAAACATTTGATAGCTAATGGGACTGTCAGATTAGCTTTATGGTCTCCAAATACCTGAAACTCCACTAGGATACCCACCATGTTTTCAAATTAGAAAGCTGCAGGCAACTGAATTTATTGTAGGTAAGAACTTCTTCTGTGGCTGTGTGTGACTTGCCGTATACAGCAGAGTTTGGAGTTAGCTTCCTTTGGGAGGGCTGGGGCTGTGGGAGGTAGAAGACACTATACTTACAGATGGGAAAAAAAGTGGCTGCCTCCATGCTGCCTCACTTTCTAAAATTTTGAGAAGGGAACAATAGAGGACTTGGGTTCTCTGTGTTAGCTGAAATTGGTGGTTGTGACGCTTGCTTCTGAGTCCTGTGATTGATCCATTCACTCCTGGATACATCTTCTTTTAAAGTAAGTAATTTTATACTGGTCTATCTTACACCTGTATGCATAGAGAGGATATGATTGCTGGGGAGGTAATAGCAAAACCTCTTTGTCCCAGTGGCTGTACTTCCAGTTCACTGTGGATTTTAACAGTGCAATAACATGCAGCGTTGGCAGTCCCTGTCCAGACCTGAGCAGAAAGTGCACCTTGCTATTCTAGGGGCAGCATCACTTACAGGTGGTCACATAGGCTGAGAAAAGCATTCAGAGTATCTAGGATCTCTTGAGCAAGTGACATGAAACGTTTTCTTCCATAGAATCTGTTTGAACGCTGTGAGAAGCTCAGGCCGCTGCTCTTTCGCCTTGCCAGTGAGACAGTTGATGACGATGAGGCTTTAGGTAATGTTTAACAAAATATGGTACTAAAACTCCCTTTGGTCTCTGCTGTCCAAATCCTGAGCCAACACCGTGCTTGGGTTTCTTTGTAGTTAAGTTCCTCTATCTTTGTTTTGAGAGGTGGGGTATTCCCTTTCTCTGAGGATAGGAATGCTTAGGCATTTGGTACTGTTGTGGCAAAGCTTCCCACTTTCACTTTTAAACCATGCCCGTGGAAAGTTGCGTAAGAATCCTCTCACCTCTCCCCAAAGAAGCTGTTAATTTTCACTTGTGGTCCGAAGTTAAACAATGAATCCAATTTCTTCCAGCTGAGGTTGTTTCAGAGTTTGTGTAGTTCTAGCATTTGGAGAACTGAAGTCTTTTGGAGTATTTTCTCTAGAGATATTGAAGTTTTCCCATCACATAAACACAGAAGAGAGAACAACCTCTAGAATGTTTTGATTTTTGTAGATATTATAATGAGAAGGGCCATGAGCAGAACATGTGCGTTCCACAGTTGTAAAATTTAGCCCTTCCCAGAGGACTGCATTTCACAATTTTGTCTGTCTGTCTTGAAAACATGACTGAAGCGTAAAGTTCACTGCCATGATGCCTTGCTGAAAATGCAGTCGTCTTGAACAGCAGTCATGAGAACGAAGCTCTTGTGCCCCAAACATTTCATTCACACCCATGAATGCCAGGGTTCTTCAGTTGTACAGTGTTAGAATATAGGCTCAAGTACACTCATAAAACTTGCACCGAACAACAAAGTGCATAAGAGATGGCAGGGACTGTAAGTACTTTGGAGGTAGGATCAGATTTCAGTGATCTTGACGAATTAGAAAGAGGCCTGAAATCAGCAAGTATGTTCAAAATGCTGCACTTCAGAATCACAGAATGAAAAACATAAATGCAAAATGGGGATGCTGAGTAGGGAGCAGCGCAGAAGGAAAGGATCTGAAGGCTATGTGGTTCATCATATTAAGTGCAAGTCAGTGATGTGGCAAAAAGCAAAATTTGTGGGTGAGGTAAAGGTGCTGCCTTTGTTCCTTAACCAGTAGTTTCCTTCTTGCTCACGGTATAGGCATGTGGCAGCTTCCCTCCCAGGGTGGAGACGTGTGTGTTCGGTCTACAGGCATCTCTCACTAGACCATCCATTTAGCAGTTCCTCTTAGCACCAAGGTTTTGGGGCAGCAGGGATGATGGATTGGGGAGGGTGTAATTTTTTTTTTTTTTAAGTCTTTGTTTGTGTGCTTCCTCCCCTCCTTTCCCTCCTGCTTTTTTGTACTGCAGCTCAGTCCTTTTCTGTGTGTTTCTTGGTTGTCGCCCAAGTTAACTTCTTTCTTCCCAGTCCTCCTTGATTTCGAACCTCAGCACAGAAAGATTAACAGGAAAATGATTTGTAAGACATGGGTGATGGTCCTGCTGTACTCAGCACTAGTAAGGTCTCTAGAGGAATACTGTGCCTAGTTTGGATACCACATTCCAGTATGAACAAAATCCACAAGAGCATAACAAGAATGGCAGGAGCTTTGGACTATGTTGCTTATGTGGAGGGGCAAAAATGATAAAAATATGTTTAGTCTAGAAAACAAAAGTCTGGTAATTACATGTTAATGGATGTCTCTTATGATAAAATTGGATGCTGATTTGTTTTTCTCCAAAACCACTGTGGCGAGGACAGGTAGAAATGGGCTTAATTTTCAGGAAAAAAAAAAAAGTAATTGATCCAGAGAAAAATTTTTGACTACTTTGATGAAATATTTCTTTTTTGGATGTGTATTGAACAGACATGTGCATTGTATAAGAAAAGGCTGTCAAAGTATGGCTTGAATCTTGAATTTTATTTATTTGAATTTTGAATTATACTGTCTGTGGGTCTGAATGAAAAATCACAGTGCTCAATCTGAGAGCGCTGTTATTAAATAGAATCTAGACAGTATCTTAAGCCAGATTACCTCACTGGACTTTGCTCTAGGCAAGTTCTTAGATGCGGTCCGGCTTTCTCACGAGCAGTTTGGAGAGTGCCATGGAACTGACAAGTCATGTTAGAACATTAATATTTTGTTTCTTATCTTGTCTTCCAGCTGAGATACTGCAGGCCAACGACAAGCTCACTCAGGCACTCGGACAGTACAAGCAGATTTCAGCCAGCCATGAAGACAATGGTGGAGGTTCAGCAACCAGCTCCACTGGTGCACCAGGTAAAGAGAATCCTGCAGCATTCCATGTCAGCTTTGCTTCTGTATATCATGTCTGAATAGATCTCAGGAGGGAAGTGGTTTTCAGAGACTGAATGTGGAAAAAATCCTAAAACAAACAGGAAAATATATTTGGGCCTTGACGTCTTTGAGCATGGGAGGCTGCTAGCATAGAAGGAGTTCTGGGAAAGGGAACAGATCTTTACTTCCCTTGTACCTGTTGAGGTAGGTACGTCTCTGTTCTCTTCTGCAGATTTGTTTTATGTAAGTACAGTCTAGTTTGTACCTTTTTCATTGCTCTCTTAGAAAAGATATCTAATAAGAAATTCCAGATTGGAAAAAATCCATGGTAACTATAGAGTAAAGAAAGGAAGGCATCACCAAATCCAAAGGTGGAACTTGAACACCTTTCCCTCTTGAGTCTTTCAAGAAAATCTGGGAAAATGGGGCTTGATACTCTTGATATCTGAAAGATATGAAACAAGGAGGAAACTTCCAGGTATTTCTATTCCTCAAAAAAAAAGCAAGAAAGAGAACCAACGTAAGAGAGAACACAGTTCTTCAAAGACTGGTACAGGACAAGTCTTTCTGTAGAGTAGTGCCAGGGTTTGTTGTTCACCTTCTCAGCCCTGCGAGGTGCAGTGCTGACTTGTTATCCCCGCATTCTCTTTCACAGGAATGTTACAGGTTAATACAGGTTTCATATGTGGCTCTTGAGAAGAGCTTTGCTTTATCTGCCTAGCCAGCCTGGTCTCAGGTGAAAGAAGGATAATCTTAGTCACATTTCAGCCACATTCAAAATGCAGCTTTGAAACATGTTTCACAACTTTGCTTTGATAAAGCTGACGAGCTGTGGTGGAGAAAAAGAGGTGATTTCCTTCAGTTTAACTAACGGGTTCCACAGTTTGAGATTTTATCAGGGGTTCTGTAACCATCATTTTCTTTTGCATATGTTGACTGAAAATATTCCTGAAATTCTTGATCTGTAAGTCCTTTAGGGCATGCCTGAACCCACACCTAAACTTCCCTTGCAGGGCTAATCTCTTTAACTCCTTCTTCTATTTCCAAAGCATGTCAGACACCCCCAAGACGGATGAAGAGCTATACACTGATTGACTTCTCAGAACTGGAGGCAACATCCCAGTCTCCCACAGACCAATTTGCAAAGCTAATCCCTGCCTCCCGGCACAGCAGCACAGTCTCTACCTGTCTGCTTGATGAGGACTTAACGTCACTAGGTTTGTATATGCAGCTCAGTACAGCGTTATCCTTGTTACCAGCATTCATAATATTTAATGAAGATAGAAGAACTGTGATTTTAATGTTGGTTCTAAGAGAAGGCAAAACCTTTTAGCTAAGGGAAGTGTCAGAAGTTTTCAGGAATCTCTTTTCTTTAATGGTGTTAGACTGCAGTCTAACTGCTATTAGATACCATAGGAAGAACATGGTTAATGGAAAACTCTTGCCTTCTGTAATTGGTCTGTGCTTTTGGTATTTTTCTTAGATTCCAACTCTCCCATTGTACAGAAACCACTACATGATTTTGGCTTAGCAGAGGTGAGTAATCCTCATGTACTTTAGTCCCTGTGGTACAAAGGACAAGCACTAGATCAAGTTCTTGATTTTTCTAGCTTTCACTGGCTGTCTTGTGTTCTGCCACTCTATTCTGAAGGGAAACTGGAATTCTCCTGCTTTGCGGTGAAATTCTGATGCAGTTTGCCACCAAATTAGTCATATTTATTCCTACTTCAGGGTTCTTTTCAGTGGGACAGGTCTGATTTTTGCTGATGTTACATAGCATGAACTAGAAGTGCCTTATTTTTCAGGCTGATGTAAACAATGGATATAGTGAAATTGTAAGTGCCGTGCAAACATTGGGACTGAAGGAGAGCTGGGAAGACAGCTGTTCAGAGAAGAATGAATTTCAGGGCCTGGCTGAGCAGCTGTCTCCACCTTCTAGGACGAAGACATTATCCTTGTAAGCAAGCTCTATGCGATACCGTCTGACTTTGGAGCTTAGGAATACTCTCTTATAGCAGTGAAGCTTAGGAAAATCTTTAAATACGACTGGTTAATGAAGGCAAGCTATCCATGCACACATCAGCTCTTAAGCAGCAATTATGCACCTGTTAATTCTGACTGCGTAATTGCACACAAGGACCTTCCAGGGGTCAGAAACTTGGGGGAACAATTCCTGTGGATTAGTAACAAGGTGTTATTGAGCTAAAGAAACAAAACTTTACAGGCAGATCTTTTTATAATAATCTGTGACTCAAAAAATGCTTTGACCAGCTTTCTTCAGCCTTTGACAAAATGGTTTCCAAGGCATTCAGTTAATAGGGGATCACCCAAATTAGTCATCCACAGAGCTTCAGAACAGGTGAACCATTACAAGAAGCTTATCCAGCCTGCCATAATGTAGGCCAAGAAACTTTACTGGAGATTCTTAGCCTCTTGCATCATCTTTGAGCTAGAACATATTTTAATCTCACTGACTAGAGCTCCAGAGAGGCTGCATACGGGGAGAGTAGACTTCCAAAGCCCTGAAAACCAAAGTCCACCTTAATGAAAGCTGAAACATCGGCTTCTTCCATATACGACAGGAGCCATTTTCAAATTTCACAAGAACACGTAAAATTTAAACTTGTACTTTCTTTATACCTAAAAGGGATGAGGGATTAGGAATGCAAAATGGACACAGCAGAGGATGGTATATACCATATAGTCTCCCCAGTTAATATAAGCTTTCTACATGCTTTTCTTTCCAGGGATTTATCATCAGTGAAATTGCCCTTTCCAGATCTTCCAAATAGCTCAGTGGCAGAAACCTCATTCTCCAGCCTAGGCTACCAGCTGAAGCCTGCTGCCTCTTTGCATCCAGCCTCCCATGATGCTTCTCTAGCAAACCTTTTTGTCCCTTTAATTTCAATTACACCGAGTAAGTGCAATGATTTTTGTGTCCCAGCCCTGCTTAATAGAGCTCTTCTGTGACTTTGCAGGGGAGCAAGCCAAGGTAGCTTCATGCTTTGGGGGTGAGTTGGACAAAAATAATGACTATTCTGTGAAGTACTTTTTGCATCTGAGAATTTCAGCACGTGTTAGGAATCATGCTGTGGAAACGTCCTTGTCCTCACTACTCAATAGTCAGCAGTTTCCTGCCCTGGCTAAAGTCTGTAGTGGGCTTCTGAACTGTTTGGCCGTAGCACCTTTATTGAAGTTTCAAGCAGCTCTTCTCCAGGTCCTTAAAAAATATCTGTGGGTGGGAGTTGTCTCACTCCCTAAGGCAGAGCTGTTCTTTCCCCCTCTGCTTTTGGATTTAATACTGTGTGGCCAGCCCTGTGTCCACTTGCAGAGTATTGCCCTGGATACGTAGCACCACAGCGTCCCATAGCAGGGTGTGTCCTATTAAAGGAGGCCTGCAAAGCCTTGGCCGTTGTTACTCTTAGAAGAGAAGAACAGGTGCAAAGACATTCTGACTTCACTGGCCTCTGACTTCCATCTCTGAAGTGAAGAATTTAGCAGATTTTGGAAAGGCTGGATGGTGATAATTAGGTGTAGATTCACCAGGTAACGGCGATAAGGGGCTAAGTCTTGCATGTGCTGCAGAGTTATACTTTGCCTTTCCCATTCTATATTTAGTAGATCCCTACCTGACATCCCTAATTGACTGTTAAAATCTAAACTGCTAGTCTCCCCACCTCTGTCCCCATTCAGTTCCCTTCTCTGCCTTAGAGGAAAAATGTAAATCACAGACAAGTGTGTGTATGCTGCTTGGCCTATGAGTTTGCTGGAGAAAGTAAAAGTTTGTATGAGTGTTTCGTTTTTGCTGTTTCTTTATCCTGTCTCCACTGATCTGTCTCAGAAGGGAGGGGCAATTCCAGGCTTTGTGCCTTACCCTCCTTTTGTCTCCGGCAGGCAGTATCTGTCCGCTTACTGTGTATGATCAAAATGGTTTCAAGGCTATGCTCCACTTCTCCAGAGACCCAGCTCCTGGCCGACCAGATGTGCTAGTGATGGTTCTTTCCATGCTGAGCACATCAGCTCAACCAATTAAGGACATAGCGTTCCAGGCTGCAGTCCCAAAGGTGAGAAGCCTGTGATGAGTAAAAGAGAGTGGGACTACTCAGAAATGTCCTAAGAAGGTTTGCTATTTCTTGCCTAGTATTTGCCTTGCTTATTGGAAGTTGCCTGGCTCATTTCCTCTGAACTGTGAACCAGTTGTATGCCGGTGCCTATGGCCCAGGTGCCTGTTTCAAAGTATAGCTCTGGTCTTGAGAGGAGAGCGCTAAACAAGGCTCCAGACACTCTATTTTATTTTTTTAGAGTGTGTAAAGCCTCTGTGTGTGCAGTGTGCAGTTGTCTATTTAGGAATATCTACCTTTAGATGTAGGCTATGGAAAGGCATGCATTTCACTAAACCTTATGCAGAGCTGATTTAAGGAGCCATTGATGGAGCTGCATGTGACCATTTGTCTTAACCGTATATACTAGTAGCAAGGACCCAAATGTAGAAGCAGGATTTTTCTGGAATCCCTTTGCTTTTTGGAGAAAATTAGAGTGATTTTTTTCATCCACACATGAAGGGTATTTTCAATAGAGGGGAAAAGATAGCTCCTTGGCTGTTCCTTTTAGCACTTACCTGCACTCAGGGTATGCTAGTCTCACTGTAAATGAGAAAATCTGCCTACCATGTCTTTAAACTGTGTGGTTTGGTAGTGCCCCCAGCCCTTTTTCAGTGTGGACCAAAATGTGTTCCCTTTGTTTTTTCTTTCAGACTATGAAAATAAAGTTACAACCAGCATCTGGTTCTGAGCTTCCTGCCTTCAGCCCTTTCCTTCCTCCAGCAGTGATATCCCAGGTCCTGTTGCTAGCCAACCCACACAAAGTATGTGTCAGTGATTCTGCTCGTGGATCACTTTGAATGTGACTGTAATGGGTGGGGTATTTGTATGAAAGATGGGGAAGGTATTATTAGTGGGGAGATGCAGGGGAGAGACAAAGCAGTCTGGGCTGTGCTGGGAAGAGACGTTTTCCCCACTGAAACAGCTTTTCAAAGCTATAATCTGAAGGATGAATGGCACTTGCTGCAAAGCTTTACGCTGTTCTGCCTCGGTCTGCCTGCGGTAATAGCAGCTGGCAGAGACTGTGCAGATGCCTGCAGCTAGTGGAATGCGAGGCCACCCAAGGCACAAGCCATGTGTGGCAGTTCTGTTGCATTGATGAATAGTTACAGAAGATGGATATAAGGAATCCTCTGCTACTGAGGAGGCTGGCCAGGCCTGGGTTTCCAAGCATGCGCGTGTGGTTTGCACAATAGTCTTCCAGTTGCTCCTCTTGTGTAATGAAGATCCAAGCCCTGTCCCATGCAGAGCTTCTGTATGGTTGAAGAATCACCCTTTCTGAGGGTGATTCACTGCAGCAAAGCTGTGAAGGATGAGAGGGAGAGACCCAGGAATCTGCAACATGACATGCTCCTCTGTTTCTTTTTCTCATAGGATCCCATTCGACTAAGGTACAAACTAATGTTTGTGCAAGGTGTGAAGCCCTTCATTGAAATGGGAGAGGTGACTGGCTTCCCAGAAGCAGAGCTCTGGGGCAGAAGCTGAACTTCATCAGCCTTGGACATTGCCATATTGCCTTAGCAGTGGATGGGGAGTGCAGAGGATCTGTTGTCTCCTTCTTGCTCTTGGTTTCTTTGCACATGTCTGGCAGGAGGAGTGTAAAGTGGCTGCTTCTGCTCTGGCATTTTTATATAGCTGACCCTGCTTTACAGGAGATAGTGTTCTGTAGAGCCCTGCAGTGTGGGAGCCTGGTTGCTTCTTTCATACACGTGTTTCCTTCAAGTGTTTCCTGCTGCTTTCTGGGCCAGTTTTCCCTCTTTCACTTTACATTTTTTTTCTGAGTGAAAAAAAATGCTTTTTGCAGATTGCTTAGTGCCAGGAAAGATTCCCTGCCAGGGATCTACCTGCTCTGTTTTCATGTGTCTGTATGCTAACGTGCAGGCGAGAACATAAGAAATGGTGAGACTGGGCTATGAGGACTCTGGTAGATGTGTTTTATATGGCCAGATACAAAATAGATGAATAAGTACTTGGAGGGCTTTGGGGCCAATCCATGAGACAAACCTGCCAAGCATCACCAACTTCTGTGTCCCTAGGTCCTAGTTCCAAAACTGCTCTTGCCATGGCTTCTTTCTCTGGGCCTTCTCAGCTTGCAAAATGTTTCTGGGGGCAGCCAGGGGATTTCTCCTCAACAAACCCACCTGTTTTACATGAGCTCAACTGGTTTCATGACTGCATAAAACCAAAGCTGTTCTGAGATCTTATTCACTATTGGTGTTTTGTTTGGAAATTCAAGGGACTTTTAACAATTGGGGGCGGGGGTGAAGGGGGGAAGTTAAGAATTGATTTATTATGTTGGCTGGATAATGTTGACCAAGCGTCCCCTACCGATTAAGAAGGGCAAATGTTTTGTGATGCATAGCAGGCTAGTCACGTCCCAAACTGCCCTGTTCTCTGGGTATAGCGAGCTCCCTCACGGCGTGGGAGTTTATTCTTCACGACTCCGGTCTTTGGGTGCGATAGCTGATGGTAGCAGCTGTTTGTTCGGTTTGCCCGGGGTCAGGGTTGCCACCTCGCTTTCCTCCAACAGCAGGCGCATCTTTCAGACCGAGCACGGGCCTA